CAGACATCTCTGGCAAGAGAAATGGACAGATAACATTTTCAGAAAAGTACCCTAACTACATTGTTTCTTTTCACCCTTTCTACTTATGTTTTCATCCTAGACAAACTTATTCATCTCTTTTGTGCATGGTTTTGGTCAGAGTCCGCTTTTATAAGGCATTCCAGCGTATTTAATGCATCATGGATGCTTTATGAACATCGGGATGCCCTATTATGCAAATGTCCCTGCTTTACATGAGCAGACACATCCAAGGTGCCTTGACTAAACATCCACGATGTCTCACGGAGACACTATGGATGCATAAAACAGGAATCCAGATACCTTCGTAAGGCATCGTGACGGGTCTCTTACATGGAAATATCTTCTTATAAGGTTGCCTCTAAGGCGCCTAAAGTCTATTTATTTTTAAAAGATGCGCCTCTTTTTCACAGTGTATAGAGTTGCGCGAATGACAATTTTATGCACTTCACTCAACCAGCTCTTGTCAACTATGGAGAATTTGAATCTTTAATCAGCTTCGGCTAAGCAATTTTATAAAAATGTAAGTCATCCGTAATACGTAAAATAATCTATACTATTTCTCAGAATCCGACCTTGATATTGTTGTTAAATACTTTTGAGAGAGCAAATACGAGCAAAGTATGGAAGAAAATTGAAAACCTAAAATTCAATTATATTGTAAATAATAAAATAAAAATGACTGTTTCTTTTAATGTTCATAACTACTAGTTAATTAAAGATAAGTCTAAGTGACGGACGATTCAAAAGAGAAAGAGAATGCGAACTTCTTTTCAAGATGGTGTAATTTTTCATTAGTGTGCTCAAATTTCTTCTTTAAACTGAGCTGCTTACATTCGCTTCAAACATCTTGACTGCACTTATCATAATTTGCTTTAAAAATTTGAAACACTAAATTACCCCGTGTCATTTTATTTCTAACGGTATTGTTTTGGATATAAGAATGTTGAGATGAACTGAAAGTTTGGACATACATAAGATAGTAGAAAATTTTTCTTTTCTCATCTATTCACATACAAAATCTGTTATCGAATTAATCTATCACATCAACTAGCTACTTGATTGTTTCAGACGCTGACGCACTTTGTAGAAAAAAGTTAGAAGATCACTGAGTGATTGCTATACTTGATACTCTTTTATGTTTTGTATTGTTATTACAATGTGCAGTTGAAAATTCATATCATTACTAAAACTTAATACTACGAATTATTATCACACTAACAATCTCTTTCGACGTAATAGAAATTGATTGTCAACACATCTATTATTTCAATAATTAAATATCCACTAACAAACAATGGTTTGTATAGTCTATATTAGACTTAGTGATGTTTTTTCTTTTCTTTCTTGAGATGACAACAAGGGATTTGGTATCGTTCTGATTACTATCACAAGAATTTCCCAAATTGAATCGATTCATGTATGTCAGCATCATTGTCTTTATAGAAAATTCAGCCATGAGCAATCACATTTGCATTTGTAATTTTCTTTTTCTGAATTTCCTATTTGTTAAAAACTGCAGGTAGCACACAAGTAAAACGACAGCTATACTTAATTTCTCAGTGAGTCCGTAGAACTCTTCTATCTGCATAAGAATGTAGATGTACCATGATCAATACCGTACTATGGGGAAAAGGATGCAATGCTCTGAATTTTTTCTTCATAACTTCATTGTGTCTCATGCTCTTCCGGTCAAATTATTTGTTCTGAAATAATTTCAGGCTAAGTTTTTTGGAATGAATCTTGAAAAATCCTGTTAATTTACCAATAAATATGAAATTCATCAAGTTTATTGCCTCTATACTGTAAACTCAAATTTTCAAGCTCTATCGAATGGTATACTCAAAAATTATTTAAAATATTCGTTAAAATACAAATTGAGCATTCTTAGCCCCCATGACGAGAAAAGTCTTGAGAGCACCGTGTTTAGTGCGATTTTCTAAAAACAATATGGTTTTCTGCGTAACTTAATATGCTTTACCAAATGGACACAGTGAGATCCACCCGGTTTCAACTTGTATATAAATGGATCGAGTTGTGTGATATCTTTTAATGATTCTGGTTAAGATTCAATTTTTTTCGAGAAAAACATAGAAAATTCAGAACATTGAATCTCTTTCCCTCATAGTATCTTCTAAATGTTCGTTAAAAGAAAATTTTTGGTATCAACATTTTTTTCTGTTTCAATTCTGCCTATAATAGTCTATGGTTACGTTGAATAAATGCTTTTTTTTTCTGTTCTTATCTGAAGTGGAAACACACACATTCTAACGCAAGGTTCAATTCACAAGTAAATTCTGTTTTTTTTTTTGCTGAATTTTTTATAATAGCATCAGGTTATATCTGTGTTCTGTCAAGAAAATCTCAATGAATATTTCTCAGTCTATTTATGTCGAGAAACGGTTAAAAGAAAACAGCAGTAGAGACTATCTTTTTTCTTGCGTGTGCATCACTACGTGGCCTCTTTTAGAAACTAGCTTATATTCTATGCAGGTATTTGAATGCTAGTAAACACATTGTATTCTAACTCGAACGCATTTGAACACAAGAAAATATTCTTTTTTTGAAGAAACATGCAGAAAAGTGTAAAAAGGTTCGATAGATTCTTACATGGGGATGTTTATAAAATATATTTAGACAAACTTATCGTACACACATACTTTAGATCAAATATCTTTGCGGATTCATGATTCCCTACATTTTGTCATTTTTCAGTTATTCTCGTGAAATATTAACGATTAAGTCATTAGTTGTTCGAAAAAGTGTCGTGTTATTCATTTCAGCAACAAGTGAGCTAAATAGATAAAAGCTTGTCAGCAGAAACGACGTCTAGAACCCACGACGTTTAAAACGTTGCAATTTACTGTCTATTAACAGCTCACTAAATGAATTTTTAATGACACTTTTTAGCTAGTCAACACCGTTTTTTGACCATTTTTCGGCATTATAACTGGGAATGTATTAATGCCTAAAAGTGGCATTTTTTTAACGACCAAAAAACGGGCTGAAAACAAGCATTTAATAGTGACCGTTTCAATTACGTTTAATGACTATGTTTTGCGCTGTTCATGACCAAAGATCCGACTGTTGATCGTGACTAATTTCTTTCTGATTACTACCATGAAGTTAATGACTTTTCAAATTTTTGAATATTTTCGGTTGACTAGATGTGATCGGTACCATCACTGGCCCCTTACCTAGAATCAGTAGCTATTTCCTCCACAAGTTTCGATGAATTATATAGTCGAGAAAGAACAAAAGTCTATTTTTTCTATGAGAAAACACAATGAGATATATAGCAGGAAGACCAGCGAAACAAAAGGGTGAACTAAACGATAAACGTTAAATGTCCGTTTTTTGTCTGTTTATGTATTGGTCATAAAACGGACAATAAAATGCCATTCAATGGTAATCTAAATCTGAGCCTGACTAACACACAATTAATGGCTTGTTTTCAGGCCATCATTAAAGACCAGATGAAGAACAATAAATGGTGCCTGTTAACTGACCGTTGTTTCATAATTAAAAGCCTGCCGAAACTCGGTTGTTAGCCATTTCGTTAACATGCCATTTATGTCCTATGTCAATGTCAGTTGTTTTTTACCTGGGAAGTAACGCTCTTAATAAAATAGTAATAGTAGCTGCTTTTAGATTTAGCAACTTTTTTTATTAATATAAAAGCAGCTGCTGTAACTACTATTTTATCAATTGTAAAATTTCTACCCTTAACAGGTATGATGTTTCAAAGTAAAACTCTATCTGAGAATATAAAAAATTCATGAATTAAAACCAAACATTTTAACCAACGAAAAGATCCCTTTGTAGGAAAAACGCTATATATTGAAAACTGAAGATTGAACCGTATCTCACTCTCAGGATAGTCGTGACATGAGGCTACGTGCTCTCATACATAGTTTAGATAAGACGGGCTGTTCCCGTTGAGAGTGGAAAAATGCACGTAATCACGTTGTTGAAAAAGAAAGTTCTTGATTGCTATGTTTTAGCCACTGTTGTGAGATCTTCTTGTGAACGATAAAAGATAGCCAAAAAACCCAGTTCGTCACCATACTCTGAAAGTTTTGGTTGAGATCAACAAATAGTTAAGAAATAGATTTTAAACAGAGGAGCCTAAATGAAAAAGTGTCTATATATGTATAGATATATAATATACATCTTATACAACAAAACAATAGTATGAAATCCCATGGATGCGGTTTCTAATGAGTTGTTTAAACATCTAAAGAAAGAAAAAGATAGTATTTTCTTTTTCTTTTCTAACTTTGTCGCTCTCTAACGAAATTAGTATTCTATGCATGTAAACACGCGGATACAATATCATAGTATCAGAAAAAATATTTCTCAATAACAGGTATTCCACTAGAATAGCTCTATGATGTCATATTTTTATGTTATTTATACAATATATAGTAGTTTCTCCGGAGAAAAGAGTCGCGTTGGTATTGTTATATATCTGTAACGCAAGTAATATCATTCACAAAAAAAGGGTATATTCTATGTATTGTATACAGTCTTTCTTACTGCCTATTAAACAATAATCATGCACACATGGAAAGTCGTGGTTATCTTTGGTTAAGTGAAATAACAAAACTAGTAAAGCTTTTTCTAAAACAGTAGTACCTAATTTTGTAGTCTGTCTTCTCTGCTTTACTTCAAAACAAACTTTATTAAGAACAAGTGTTTCTGCGCCGAGAAATTTTTACCAAATCGATATCAAAAGCAAAAGAATTCTTGATCCCAGTAGTAAAATCCTAAACTAAGATGTCAAAACTCAAACACTGTCAGACTAAAATACATTTAGGTATTTATTATCTATATATGATCTATCTCTACAAATTATGATCAACAAAGTCTAAATTTCATTATTCCAGAATTTGGTCGGCCGTTACATGGATCTGCTCTCCAAGTCGACGTATATCTCAAAGTAAAATTACGATTAAGATTAACAATTCATTATTATTAAAATGGAAGGGGGTGATTTTAACAATAACGCCAGTAATATGAAGACAACCAAGCAACAGCCCCAGATGGGTTTGTTCCAGGCAATTAATTTATTATTAGCATGTGTTATCGGTAGTGGAATATTCATTAGTGCAAAAACCGTGCTAGACTACTCTGGTAGCTATGGTCTATCGATTTTGGTATGGATATTCTGTGGTCTCTTATGTATTATGGTAATTATAGCAGTTTGTTGATACCTGATTAGATTCTATCTTATTTTTATTCATTTAGGGTGCACTCTGTTATGCCGAATTAGGTTGTGCTTATGTTAGTAGCGGAGGTGACTATACGTACTTAAAAATAGCGTTTGGTGATTTTGCTGGTTTCGTACGTGTGTGGATCGAAGTTGTCTTATCTCGTCCGATGATCGTTGTTCTTAGTGTTTTAACAGCAGCAAATTATTTGATCTACTGGTTTTATCCCACTTGTCCGCCGCCAACTTCTCTTGTCAAATGCTTAGCATCGTTTCTTTTATTAATTGTTGCCTTCATCAATTTAGCATCGGCCATATGGACAAATCGTTTGCATTTAGCTTGCAATTATTTTAAAATTGGTATGTGTGATTTTGTTTCTAAACTATTTTAATTTAAATATTGAGCAATTTTACAGGTTCATTGCTAATCGTTGTTGGAGCTGGCATTTATCAAATATGTCGTGGTAGAACAGAAAACTTTCATGAGCCATTTGAAAATAGTTCGTACAATAAAATAACAAAAGCATTATATGGTGGTTTATTTCCTTATGCTGGTTGGAATTATTTGAATAATACTATTGATAATTTAAAAAATCCTCCAAAAACTTTACCACGTGCAATTGTCATATCATTATTACTGTGTATAGTAATTTATTTACTTACATTTAGTTCATACTTTACCGCTCTCACACCCAATGAGATTCTTATGTCAGACGCTACGGCAGTGTCGTTTTCTGAACGCGTATCTCCACTATTCTTGTATGTTATACCAATTGGAGTTACAATGTCTTGTGTTGGTGCGGCTAGTGGTAATATATTTACTATCGGTCAAATGTTTAATGTTGCCGGACGTGACGGTCTTATGCCGCATATTATGGCTATGAAACACTTCGAATCCAACGTACCAATGATTGCTATATTATTTGAAGTTATTATTTCATTTGTCTTCTTATTTTTTATGTCGAATATAGATCGTTTAATTATTTGTTGCGGTATGATCAATTGGATAGGTAAATATATCATTTTCAAAGAGTGTAATATACTTTCTCCTATGTGACTGGTCATTTTAGGTATACTATGTGCTAGTATCGCACTCATTGTACTCCGATATACCCAACCAGATGTCCCTCGTCCAATGCGCGTTCCATTAATTGTGCCTATTCTCTTTATCTTTATTCTTGTCGTATTGATCGTGGCAAGTGCAGTGACTGACTCCGAAAATATCACGACATCATTAATTTTATTGTCAACAGCTATACCAGGTTATGTTATTGGTGTTATGTGGAAGAAAAAGCCAAAAAGTTTTACGAAAAAATACAATAGTTTTGCAACAACATTACAAAAATTGTTTTTTGTTGTTCCTGATGAACATGTGGCATAAAAATTAAATGAAATATTTTTCCATACATAACTACCTACCTACATAGATATTTTTTTAGACTAGGTTGTACATGAGCATGATTATGACAATAAGTAGCAAAATAGTTGCTTGTAAAGAGGATTTTCTATTAAAGAGGACGGAAACCTAAATTATTTAATAAAATTTTCCCAAGTCGTTCAAACTGCAGTTTCAGGAGCAAGTAGCGGCAGATGCAAAATTTTTTAAGGAGGAATGAGGAATTTTTGTAAAGTCCTCCGAGGCAGTACGCATTTCTTTTTTTCGAAGTCTTCAGAGGTAGTACTAAAGACTTGCGAGGCAGCAGAAATAACAACTTAAGCCAAAAAAGGAGGTGCCCTAAGGGAACACGGTTTCGGCGGGAAAATTCTGAAAGGGAAGGGACCGCCCCCTTCTAAATTCCCCGCTGGGAACAAAAAATCGAACAAATTATGAACATTTTCAATTAAGATAATTAAGAGTTAAAATTAAGAACTAAAATTTCTCGTATTGGATTTGTACGATGTCATTGACTTCTGCATAACTCATCGATCAATATATTCAAACAATTCACCCTTAATACACGAAAAAGAAGTCTCAAATTTATCAGAAATAAAATAAAACAATATCATCAACAACTGTATCACAACAAGCCTCAATAACAATTGTTTCTTCATGCGTTTTAAATGTAAATGCTCCATCATTCGCCACTCATTCTCTATTCGACTTATTACAAAATCAAGATCGTCGAAGCGATTGATTAATCGATATTATTCATAATTTGAGCACTACATCATTCTGAACCGAAAAACAAATAGTTAATAAACAACTAGACGTTATATTTTCATCTGAATTGAATACGTCGATTTCTCCAACTCAATTATCTACTAAAAAGGGAAAAAATCGACAGAAGTAACTCGTACAGATCAACTTTACAGATCAACTTTTTGAATCTTCACCTATGGCATCCAATAAACAACAAAATCAGCCATCTTCTAACGTTTCCTCATCTTCATCATATGTGAAAAACATAACAAAAAAATGAACCAACAGTACAAAAACAATAATAAACAACATTCGTCACAGGACCAAAAATCATTTTATGCTATTATCGGTAACAGTATTAGTCGTTATATTCAATGAAAATATGGTATATTTGGTTTTCTTCCAAAATGGCGTGCTCTCTAGATAATTTAATTTTTTTCAACTCAGTGCGATTTTGACATCGCGTTAGTAAAATCTTTCTAGGCAAAAAAGGGTCCAAAACTAAACTTTATTTTAGTCTCATTTCGTGCAGAATCCGATTCTCTATTTTGTGCATTATAAAAAATTTCTAGATACTCTCTTCTCAAAACTTTATAAGCCCAATACTGTGAGGAAAGTGAACATTTGAAAAAACAGGGTTATAGTAAACTATGAGTTTCTCTATTAATCTGAAGAATTGCAATGAACTATGCGGTGGAAAATATCTTCTCTATTTTGCTTACAAAACAGCATTAAAACATTGAGAAATTGGGATGACTTGTATCAGCTATAGGTTCAACATTGAAAACAAGCGGTAATTGAGAAATAGCTAAAAAGAAATAGTCATGCATTATTGTCAGACGATTTGTCTAGTAATCCGAGACATTTTTCAGCTTTGGCACTTGACTAGTAAAATTGTTTAGTAAATACGCTCTAATACTATAATTCTGAATTGAAGAATTGTAGGTCGTTCGATGTTTCTTCATATTGTTTATTATTAATGGTTAATTCGCGTGAACAGTAGCAATACTCAATATTAACGGTGTAACATAGTTTAATCATAGTTTGAGCTAAACATTTAGGCTAATCTCAATTTGAACTGACCCAGAATTATTTATTCTAACATGTACTGCAGTTCGAATGAGAAAAGTGTAGATCAAATTAAGATATCCAAGTTTAGACTAGTTCAAAGTTGTATGGATACAGAATTTTGTTCTCAACTACTCATTGAGCACTAATGTTTTAGAATTTTCACTCGGAAAAACGATTTTTTGTTTTATTTTAACCTTTAACCATCTTTAGTGCTACTGTATACAAACCTTTAATGTCAAAATTACATTGATCGTATTAAACTCCATTAGTTCTGATATCTTCATCATTTATGGGGGGATGTTGATGAAGATTAAAAGACGATGTATCACTAACGACAAGTTTTTATCTGAGGTATGAAGTAGATACTCAACATTTACCGTAAATATGCTAAAAGGCAAAAAGTTGCAGATATTCAACAATGTTATATTCTCTTTTTTTGTCGCCAAATGGAACATAAGTCACTGTCAATAAGACTATCGCCAAAAAGGAATTAGAGGATTCTAACCCATGTATTGCTTTAGTTTTATGGACGTGTACACTCCTGAATATCGTGAAATGAACTATGATCGCGCGTAAACATCGTAAAGTGTGTGAGCTAAAATATATTCCACTTGTGACAACGCGTGAACTGTTTACGGAAACTTTTCGCGTCATATTTTTCGCAGGTGGTCACTAGTGAAAGTCGTAAAACGGTATGTGGAAGTGAAAAGAAATCCTCGCTTGTAAACGTATGTGAAATTATAGAAAGTTGACACGTGACTACGCATTTTATGTTTGCAACTGCACGATCGCAACGTCATGAAACTTCGACAAAATTTCCCCATGGGTATAATATTATGTATCGCATCTAGCTTATCCTTCCTTTAAAATTGTTTCTATCTCAATAAGTGTATATATTACTTTCTCTATAAAGTGGAACATTCCCCATTAAATAACATTAAAATTTGAGAGAGTAAAATTTTACCATTGATTTTTCTAATAAAATCAGCTTCAATTGAAATGTCTTATCCTCGTCGTATGTTGTGTAGGAAAAATAAGAAAAGTTGTCTTTATTTATGATAATAGTTTTCGTGGCATTTTATTAAAAATGACCTTGTTATAACAACTATAGTCTTTTTTGATTGCATGCTCTATCGAATTTTAAACATTCATGTCTGTTCAATTATCTTTGATATGCGTTTCTATTTTTACCTTAAATCGATATTTTCTGCCTACATTCTCATATTTGAACATAATATATATTATAAAGTTTTATGTAAACGTCTTCTTTTGTCATCTTCTTTTGATATCATTTTTTTAATCTAAATCGTAGCCTATAGATGTGTTCATTATTGTGCAATATAAGTATAATGTAGGTGGTAACGGGTATATATAGAGATTTTTGAAAATAAGAAGAGAAAATTGTCATTTTTATACATCTATGGTTGCACAATATACACAATTTATATAATATTCTCATTCGATTTTTAGTAACACGTACAGACATATCCAAATAAAATGATGATTGGTTTTTAAATAACCCTAGATAGACTTCAAAATGAAATAATAATCAAAGGATAGTTTTAATCGATTGAATGATCAAATTTATACGGCAGTGATCACTAGCTCACAAGTAGTAGTGACCAATTCGAAGTAAAGGTATGTATGTATTCTCTACCTTAACCATAGTGCAATATCAGCCAAAAAGTCGTTAGTTGTATTAAACAGATATAGATAATATCTGTTTATATATGAAATAGATCTAGATATTTAGTTGTTTACTTACACATCAAATCTGTGAAATTTATTGTTACACAAAATTCTTTACATATCGTCAATATTGAGCCGATATTGATCATACTAATGAAAATTTTGATTATCAAAAATTGTTACTAATTTTCTGCTAATTTCTTATGAGTCTATTTCTTCTTAAGTTACTAATTTTTATGTTATTGGATACTTGAAGAAAACATTAGGTAGATTCTCATGGATGAACGTACGTTTATTATGATTGTATAGGTTTTATGTTCAATATGCTTGCTACCAATACAACTCGATTAGAAGATTATGCACAAACCTATTTGCCAACCTCATTCAATAATGATGTCGATGATCATATTTTCGAAGATAACGTTTATTCTAAAAATGATGATGAAGATTGTTTGAATCTAGCTGAATCGTCATTTGGTATTAATAGCTATGCTCAACGTCGAGGTGAAAACACCGTTATATCCTGGTTAGACATATTAACATCTCAATCTATACCAGAAGAAAATGACGAAGATATTTCGTATCATGATAAAATAAATAGTACATTTCGAAGTGATAATATTGATAATAATAATCGAACTGAAGATAGTATAGATGAAATTATGGAAGATTCATCGACAACTTCCTCGTGTTTATCGAATGGTAGTTATGTTGTTTTAGAAATTCAACGTCCACGTACAACTCAAGATATAGTAGAAAAATCTGAGATTAATTTTGCACAAACATGCACTTTTACATCGGAAGAAGAAGTTGAACAGGTATATTTATTAAACATACTCATTATGCATCAAGTAGAAACATTTCAATCTTTCTTTTCTTTCAGTATCATCCCGATATTTATGTTACTGACTCAATTGCCGTTTCAAAACAAGAATTGGAGCTAATACCAATAACCATGGTGAAACATTCAATCGTTCATGAAGGTGAAATAGTTAAAAAAACAAAATTTACTAAACGATTACGAATGAACTATATGGCGAATCGTGAACATTTTGAACGTAATTCATCATCTTCATCCGATTGTGATAATGGACAAATAAGATTAAAAACAATTCAAAGAGTAAATGACCAATCATTAGTATATTTGCCAGCTGAACAAATTTGTCGATCATCAAAACAGAAAGATTTTCTGTTACCTGAAAAATCATTTTTAAATCAAATTGAAAATATTCAACGACGATCATCCATTTCAAGTATTGATTCAATTACACATAATCCTTCGCAACGAAATGAACAGAAAAATTTGTTAATTCAAGATGGAAATACTATTAAAAAGAACAATATTACCTTTTCGACTCTGTATCACACAAATGTTGAAAATCATCAGAGAATTTCTAATGATATTCGATCAACACGTCATATAATGGCTGCTAACACTGAATACTGCCATAGGATATATCAAAACATGGATGATAAAACTGATTTAGAATCAACAAAACCACCATTAAAAACGTTTGCCTTCGACCGAGCGGCTATGCAAAAATATGTAAATAGTATACCAGTTCGTAGCACACAACTGTCGCCTGATTCCATTATAGAAATATCAGACACAACATTTTCATTATACTCTTCGAATTTATCTGATAAGAAATGCGAACAACCGCAAGAAGCAAGTAATAATTCGTATGAAGATTCGGTTCAAAATGTTCAGTTAAAAACAGATACAAAGTATGTTGATTTACTAAGAAGTGCATAAGTAACGATAAACAAAAAATTAAAATTTGAGATACTTTCTAGAAACGACTATTGAATAAAGATTTTTTGTCAATAGCAGAAAACTTTGGAGTATCATTGAATTAGTTTATTTTTCTACAAAATATTAGAACATTTTATTACCACTTATACTACATTTAGTGACTTTGTTTTTTCTTTAGGGAAAAAATTAATAATGGCACTACATCATCTAAAAGAAGTAACATACTGGATAAATCTGTCGATGTCGATCATGATTTATCAGATATGACGAGAAGTTCTCATACGAGTATGAACGGTAGTGTATCAAAAAATTCATCAATATATCGTTTATTTAAAAAACGGTGTCAGTCGGGCGTAACGGATTATCGTCCTGATGGTGAACCACAATTACTCGAGGTAAAATATATCGATGGTAAAACATTGAAAGACGATGATGCCATTTTTAGAGTCGAGACGGCTAAACGACTTATTAAAGCAAAGACATTTTCTTCATCATTTTCAAAAATAAATCGTCTTGGAATATCAACTAATGGATTACTCAATCGACACCATCAACAATTATCATCTACAAGAGAGTTAAATAAAATCGATACTGACAGTTCATCTCGATTTAATATAAAATCAACAACAACACGTCTCACTCGTTTGGTTGAACCAACATCATCGGGAACGTACGATTTACAAAATGGTTCATTTTCCAAACGAAATGGTGTTGTTCGTAGGCAATTTGACAGAATTAGAACATTTGTATCGAAAATGGCTATTGTTGATGAACAACAACAATCTCCTTGTTTAGAAAGAAAAAATGTAAGTAGACCACGGCAACACAAAACATTCGCCGATATATTTAACGAAAAATTTAAGAGATGAATTCATGTTCTGGTAAATGATCAACGACAAACAAATTTTAGACCACATTTTTACCTTAATCTAATTTTTATTTCGAAAAAAAATTGTTTAAAACTTTGATTTCTGTTTAATCATCCGTTTTACATTGAGAAAGATTCGAAAATCTGATTCAATTAGATACGTCAAAACCATTCTGTTCTAAATGTTTCTAAAGATATTTCGAAAGTATAATATTTATAAGAAAATAGTTGGAATGAAAAATCAATATTCTCTATATCATTCTAGATTAGAAAATTTATAAACTGCAGTGAGCCTGGGGAAGTTACTATGTTTTGGCACTGTTTTCTGACGTTCTGCGTATACAATACACGCAGTCTATACAGGCAGATGAGATAGACCCATCAGAATATGAATATGGCTCATTATTAAAACAAATTCTATATTCAACAATTTTTATTCGCTATATTATTGTTGACTATTGTATCGGTTCAACCATTCTAAAAGTTGTTGTCTAAATTTTTATTGTACAATAATCACATGGATTATTATTTGTAGGGCAAATATCCTGCAGAAGAATTCGAAGTAGATACTATGATTTTTTCTAATGGTGCTTGAAAAAATGTTCAAGCATTCGATTTCAAAAAAATTATGAAAATTTTGACCATTTTCTGACCATATGACCTTTGGATGAAATGTGTGAAAAAACACAGACTTGGCACATATCTAGGTCAATTTTCTAATCTTACACTTTTTATTTAATATACGACAAGTCTATATGAAATCAACTTTAAAAATCTCTCTCTGAGTCCTATGTGAATTCTCCCAAAACTAGTGCTCAATGAGTAGTTGAGAACAAAATTCTGTATCCATACAACTTTGAACTAGTCTAAACTTGGATATCTTAATTTGATCTACACTTTTCTCATTCGAACTGCAGTACATGTTAGAATAAATAATTCTGGGTCAGTTCAAATTGAGATTAGCCTAAATGTTTAGCTCAAACTATGATTAAACTATGTTACACCGTTAATATTGAGTATTGCTACTGTTCACGCGAATTAACCATTAATAATAAACAATATGAAGAAACATCGAACGACCTACAATTCTTCAATTCAGAATTATAGTATTAGAGCGTATTTACTAAACAATTTACTAGTCAAGTGCCAAAGCTGAAAAATGTCTCGGATTACTAGACAAATCGTCTGAAAATAATGAATGACAATGATGTTTAACGTAATTTTTGTTAATAATAACTCTTCATCATCAGTACTTATTAAGAAAATAATTATTGATGTCATCGTATTATAGTTCAACAAATGGACATTTTACTGATAAGTAGAGAAAGGAAGGTATCAGAAGAGTATTTATATAAAAATAGGTTTGAGGACAATTTTAATTTTTTGACAAAACCACTGCTAAAAACAAGGGAAATTAGGTTTTTTCGGAATATTTTCGCTCAACTCGACTTTGATCGGTTATTTAGGATTGTTAGTTATTCTTTAGCCTTAGCACCATGAATTGTTTATCCTCTTCAGTACGTAGAGCCCATCCTATAGCAGAAAGATTTTTTATTTATATCACGGTAAGCCGGATCAACCGAAACAAGAAAGATAACAATGTTAGGTTTTTTAACTGAAACGAAAAAAGTTTTTCGTAAATAACCGACCAACGTCGGGTTTGGCGAAAAAACTCTTGAAAAACCTAATTTCTCCAGTTTTTAGCTAGAATTTTTTTCGGAAAATTAGGGAAACATACATTATTCGATCCAGGTGTCACGGTGATCACGAATATCAACTTTATTTTGTGTCTGTACAAGTATAGAGAGAGTAAATTGCAAAATATTCATATTTTTTTGAAAAGTCGCTTTCGACTAGCCTGTCTTAGGTATCAGAAGAGTATTTATATACAAATAGGTTTGAGGACAGTTCAATTTTTCAATTTTTTGACAAAAACACCGCAAAGAACAGGAGAAATTTGAGATATATACAAAAGCAAGTGAAGGCTGATATATTAATCAATCTGTGCCTTCGCTGATGATATTTTTAATCTTGAAACGATTTATATTTTTGTATATTGGAAAATGCAGAAGAGTTTCCTTATTAGATTTACAATTTCTTTACATGTAACTGTAAAAATGGTACATAATAATGCAATCAATAATCTCTAATTACAGCAACATTCACTACGGAGAGGTAAACCGTTGGATATTGGCTTATCTATTTGATTTAATTGTAGAAACACAACATGGTAAAAATCGAACAGCTCAATCAATTACACCAGATGAAACATTGCCGTCTGATTCAACAGAATCATCATCACAAAAAGCATTCGAAAATAAACTAATTCACACGGGTGGAGACAAGGCGTAAATCCTTAGGTAAATTGGTAAAGAAACATCTTTGTCTATCGAACGAATGTACCAACAAGAAAATAAAATAATCTGAACAGCAGAAAAAAAAGAACATAAGAGAGACAATTGTCATACTTTCTTCTACAAGAAACACCATACAAAACAGAAGATACGAACACGTTTAATTTTCAATTGACAAAGAAAAAGTTATACTTTGAGATGAAAAGTTGAAATCGAAAAATATGAATGACTGACCATAAGAGTCTGCATTCATCAAGCGAAAATAAGAGAAACAAGCGAAAGCGTTAGAATGAAAATAAATCACATTCAATAAATCTGAACTGTACAATCTACATTAATTCGAATAAATTTATTTTCTTTTCTTCAATTCTTCAAATCTTCTTGCTAAATCATCGAAACCAGTATCATCGGATTGTCCACTAGCAGCCGTATTTGATTGATCGTTTGAAGGCACTTGAGGAAAGTCATTAACACCTGGTACATCATTGTGTTTTTGATCATTAAGATTAAAACCAATTCTTGGCATCATATTCGAAGGTGGATAAGCTGGGCTGGGATTCGTTGATGGTGGTGGTTGAGCAAAATTAATATTTGGATATTGTGCTGATGGAGGAGGTGGTTGAGGCTCAAATAAACAAAGAAAATATAAATGCCTATTTATTTATACTTAAGAATCAAAAATAAATAAGAAAAATCATCATAAAAGAAAATTTATTAACAACTGGTTTGGGTATTTAGAGGGTGCAAGAGAAAAGCTGAATAAAAACAGGAATACATGCAGCACATCTATCTCTTAGAAATACCCTCACGTTTATTTGGCTTTTGTAAATTTATCTAAAAGACAAAATAATAGTATTTCTATTTTTTATAGCATGCAGGTGTCGAGCAATTAATGACTGAAGCAACAAGCAGGAGACGACCAATATAACTTATAAGCGAATTATCATCATACAAGAAAACACATCAGAACAAATGATACTCGAATTATAATTATTCTTTAAAATAAAAAAGTTTATACTAATTATTCTTTTTTCACTATTGATGATGAAAGCATAGCGAAACATCTCATATCTCAAATTTCTAATAAAAAAGATTGCTTCAAACTTTTTTTCCTAAACAAAAATTTAGTAATAAAGAATAGTTTATCTCATTTAACGTGCGTATAAATAAACTATTTTATAGACTACATCTAAACTGTATTTTACTTGTGTTACTACATGCAAAAAAGACATGCTTCTGGTATGTTAATAGAGTTTCCCATTACATACGTGATGAACGCGTTTATCTTCAAGATATATTGTTAAATTATCTTCGACTAAAGACTCATCATTAGTGTATTTAGAATTAGGATTATTCTTTTCCAAAAAATAATTTGGTTTATCTTCATTCAAATTATTGTTAAGAGCAGTAGTCGTATGAGCCTATAAAAACAGGTGTTTTCGACGATGATTAAAAAAATTTTCTAGCTAACAGCTAATCTTTGAAAAATCTATGTTAATAAATGAGCAGGATCAAAGACCATCCTCACACACACGCACACAAACATCATGCAGGAAATTTTCTCACAAAAAAATAGAAGACATGATAACAACAAATTTCTATTGATTAGGACACTTACTGAAGAATAGTGTGGTGGGGGCTTTTCGAACTATAAAAAATTTGTTTTTGTTATCTGCACCGTATTGGAAAGTGAAAAAATAAATTCTTATAAATAGAACTTATTTTTGTTACCTGTGGTGCACTGGGTGTCGATTGTGGAATATCAGGAAAAGCGAGACCACCAGTGATGCCATTTCCTCCTCCTGAACCACCGCTGTTGGATGATCCACCGCTTGATGGTGGTGGTTGTTTTCTTTCTTCTGGTGGTGGTGGTGGATGTTGAACATAACGTTGACCAATAGCCCAAAATTCATCTTGCGCCATGACCGCTGGATCAGGTTCAAATGCAACATTGTTACTACGTGTTATTTCAATTAAATATTTTTCAATTAATAATTTTGGTATTAAATCACAACTTAAACATCGTACCAGATCAACGTCAACTAATTCAATTTTATTCATTTCACACATTGACACGTATTCCGGAGTAAAATGTCGTTTAAATATTGCCGTTATTTGTCCTAATTCTGGTATATCTTGTTGTAAAAATGGTGACGCCCATAATATATTGGCTAATGGTTTTTCAACAGCAGGATCAACTAAAAGATTCAATAAAAAAATACTTCTACTAGTGCTATGTTTTCTATTTCAAATTATAGAGATGTAACATACTTTGACCATTTTTTCTGAAATAAAAATAAATAGACGAAATTATTAGAAATGGCATAGATCATTAAATAATGTAAAAAAACTATCAGTTTCTACTATTTCAATGCAGTATAGTGCATCTATGATATTAACTTGGCGTCTAAAACCATATAGTGCGATGAGACTGTTCCACGTATGAGTTTTCTTGCGTAGTAAACACTTTTCTAACTGTACTCTTTTAAAATAAAGTTTACCTTAGACGTTCTTATTACGTTCTCGAACGTCACACGAAAAGGTTTAGATCGTATTTCAAATAAATGATCAGAAACTAGCGTTATTAATGTGAAACTATACTGAAATACTTTAAGAACATTTCAGTGAATTTTGACCGATAAAATTTTTGTTAGACATTCTTTTAAAAAACTCTCTATACCAAAAAAGTTTGTATTTTTTTTGAAAATCTGAAACTTTTTAGACTTATCATTTACAAGAACTCTTTTCAGATAGCTTTACTCGTTAAATAAAGGCGATTTTATTTTAAATATCCTTTAAATGTCTACCTGTTTAGAAAAAAATATCCTTCGTTTGTATAGGAATACCATTATTATATAGTTTATACATATGCTACTTACAATTATGTATCTCACTTCTTAAATGATGTTGAGCCGAAAAAACAAATGCTTAACACTTTCTCTCGTATTTTGCTGAACAAGAAAGCTTGTACGAGAAAAGAATAACTTACGGTCGATCTTTGATTAAACTAATTCTCATAAGTAAAATATCAATGTAAGCATCAACTTTTTCCATTGCTTCAATTTTGTAATCTTCTCGTACAATGTGTTCAGTAGCTAAAAGACGAACAATGTTCACAATTACAAGCTCAAGTACGATTAGAATTAAAAACTTGCCAATACGAGCACGGGGAATTTTATTTATTCGAACAAATTCAGCAACACCAGCACGTTCTTTCGCTACTTGTTCCGTTTTCTTCTTTTCTCTGACATCTAATCGTGACCGTGCCACTTGCATAACGGTCTTCAATTCATTAATCCATTTTTCATTTGGCATTGTTTTAAGTCAATCGACGTAAAAACTTATATAAACTAAATAACAAATCTAAAAGAATAGACAGAAGATCAAAAGAAATTTCTCACTTCAATCGAGAAATACGGGAATTACATCAAACTTTTCAAGTTTTATGAGCGTATAAAATAACAGTTATTAAAATAGATTACAAAAGTTTTTGCGTTGATCAATATGAGCGTTGTTGTTAACGCTCATGCCGTCTATTTTTATCGAAAAACGAGGTTTACCGACGATTCTCAAAAAAACCGGTATTAACCGACTCTTTTTCAATCACCGCTTTGTATCAGAGTCACCTTACGTATATAAGATTAAAATGACTTATCAGAAAACTTCGTACTTTTCTCCATGGCTTAGTGAAGCGTAAATTTCGCCTGGCTTTAACTGTGTTTTCGCCTGCGATCGAAGGTACTTATCGGCCGAACACTAATACTCAACTGTACACTTCATCGGTATAGTAACGCAACTAAGGAACAGCTTTACCGCAATATAGCACGTTAAAGTTCAAAATTTAAAATGAAAATGAAAAATATTCAGAATAAGAACGGTACCCACGTCGCTTACTGGCGCAAAAAAATGCCTGTTATAACGGTTAGTCGAAAAATACCGTGCGTCTGAGCGATTAATTCAGCGGTTTGCGGTTCACTTTCAATCAAAAGTGAATAATTCTTTTGTAAGAGATAATTTCACAACTTATCAAACCTTCTACCACAAATTGGGTCGTGCAAATCAGCAAGAAGAGGTCTACATATTTAGTCGCTTGTAGTATAAAATTTCTTAAAATACATGCAATTCATTAGATAAATCGTTTAACGAATAATTCAACATGTTTTAATGTCTGCTCACTTTCAGATGTATAATACAACGTACTCATTCGAGGTGTACTGAATACAACAGAAGATACACCATTTAATAGATCAGCTCAATAATTCAATGAATAAATAAATATGGCTGCATAAGAATCTCCTGCATCAATCACTATTTTTCATACTGAGGAATGTAACGCTCTTTTTGGATGTGCAACATTATTGTAATATAATATCAACCTTTCATTTCTACTTTAACAGTGGAGAACTTGAAAATATCCAGATTCCTCAACAAACATACCATAAAGGACGTTTAGTAGACGCATAATGAAAAAAATAACAGTGCAGTTGATTCCATTTCTATCACAAAACACATGGTCTTCTACGCTAGTCACGCAGAACTTTTGAAAAGGTTTCTTTTTACTTTCATCCCTTTCATGTCCAAGAAGAATCAGAAGAGTTCATGATGTTGAACCGCTAGAATAAAAAAGAATTATCTATTTATTCATATTTTTGGAAACATGACACAGAGAGTGCATGAATCATTGTTTTATTCGACCAATCAAACTAGAACGAAATGAATCATTCATTCACCGGATTATAGTATTACATTGCATCGTTTTCTTCATAACCCTATAGTTTTATAAGTGGCAACACTCCGAGCTGTTTAAAATGCACGGTTTAATTAAAAAAATATAGAGGTGCTTCTCTGAAATCTGATTAGTGCAAAACAGAAACTCGCTCTGATGACACCAGTCATGCATCATAAAGAATGACTAATTATTACTATATACGACGTCAAGTGGTATGAGCGTGCTGTAATAAAAAGTAGAAAGGATTTACACAACTAACAGAACAATGAAGGACTAGTGATGAATAATTCTGCCACCAGCCTCCGCTTTTCTTTGGGACGTTCAATAATATAATACGATTGCATTGTAATCTTTTTTAATGCAGTCTTTTAATGCATCCTTTCTATTTACAAGTACTTTTATTTATTTTCATAGCGTTTTAGTAGCGATCAAAAGATGCTAGTTTAAAAATTTATATGGAGAAAGAATGTATGTCATCGTACATCACGTTATACACAAAAATTAAAAATATGTGATTATCATTCTACTTGTATCGATATTCCTTCTTTCTTTGCTTTGTACATTGTATACATATTTTTAATACTATTAATTATTGTCTGAAGAAAATACCGTTACTGAAACATTATATAAATAAAAAGAACAATAATTTTAAAGGAAGATTTGATATAAAAGACTTAAAACTATAATAATCTTCCTCAATAAATGTTTTAAGAGACTTGAATTAATCAATTTTTGAGAAATGGTTAATTACTTTATTTGCATTTATTCTTTATCATTTGAAATCAAATAATTATTTATTTTTTAGAAAATGAGTTTTTCGGATAATAATAACACTTATCGTTCAAATATGAACAATAATAAAGACGATGAATCGTCGGAATCGATTCAACGTCAAATTCATCAATACAAAAATAGTATGCTTGACCGAAGTCATCATATGGTTAATTTAGTATCAGAATCTGAACAACTTGGAATAAATACAGCTACGGTTAGTTTTACACTAAAATAATTTGTAAAGATTTTATAATTTTATGACATTTCTATTCGTTTGATTTAGGAACTTGCTACACAACGTGAAAAATTGGAAAAAATTGACAATAATCTTGATACAATTGATAATACACTAATTGGTACACAACAAAGGATAAATCGTTTACAATCTGTATTTGGTGGTATTAAAAATTATTTTTATGGACCAAAAACGGCATTTTTACCAAAATCTAATTCACAACCAAATATGACCAAAAATCAGTCAAATAATACTTCATCAAATAAACAACAACAACAGCGAATTTCTCTGC